CTCTCACAGCTTAGCCGCACCTCTCGCACGTGAATCACTACTTCCAGCACGCAAGAGCAGAAGTTCCTCCTCTCACCGCTGTCGCTTGACACTTCTCTCTTGAATGCGTGAAAATTTTCAGTCCAGACTCCGAACGTAGTGCAACATCCTGAGTCGAATGAATTTATCCCACGTGTAATGGTGGGTCCCACACTCTAAGTAATTAAAAAAAATAAAAAATTTAATGCCCGACCTGCCTGTTCGACTAATTCGACTTCTGGAGTATCCCGCCTATTGCAATACGGTTGTCGAGAACCTTTTTGACTTCCGCGAGATCGATTTAAAGAGCTTCCATCATCAATCTGCTAGGATTCCGCTGGTGTTCTAGCATCGAAAGGTTAGTGTCGTAATTGTAAGAGTTGGAAGGTTAGTGTCGAGGCAGTAGGAGAATGAATTTGGAGTACGTCAAGAATATGTAGTTGGAAGAAGAGGCGAAGAAAATGGAGTTCGATGATTCGAAGAATATGCAGTTGGAAGAGCTCGTAAGACCGGAGTTGGAGGAGGCCAACAAAGGTGACCAGGGACAGCCAAAAAAGAAGTTAAAGAAAGAAAGGAAGAAGAAGGATGCGAAGAGGTCGAATACAGAGGCGAATGAAGCGGAGTTGTCCTGGTATATATGATCGTTCTATTTCGGTTAAATTTTTGAATTCAGTTTAGTTTGACAGGTAGTTTATGTTCATAGTTGGGTTATTATTGACGTATTTTTAGGTTTTTCACGGATTATTCATGGTTTATGACTGAGAGTTCATTGCTAGTTTATATTTTGGTTATATTTAGGTTATTTTTGACAGCCATTATTGGTTAAATGTTTGGTTATTTATGGGTTATTTATGGGTTATTCTTGGGTTACTTATGAGTTAATGTAGCCGTGTGTTTTGTCTATTTATGAGTTAATCTGGATTGGTTTATGCTTGGTGGTTCATTTCTAGGTTATTCTCTGGTTATATTGAGATTATTTTGACAGTTATTAATGATAAATTTTTGGGTTATTGATGAGTTATTCTTCGATTATTGATGAATTAATGTAGTCGTGGTTTTTTGTTCTGTTTACGAGTTAATCTTGATTATTCTTGGTTCGTTGTTCTGATACATAGTTGGGTTATTCTTGGTTTAGCTTGGGGGTTCATTGTTGAGTTAATCTTGATTATTCTTGGTTCGTTGTTCTGATACATAGTTGAGTTAATCTTGATTATTCTTGGTTCGTTGTTCTGATACATAGTTGAGTTAATCTTGATTATTCTTGGTTCGTTGTTCTGATACATAGTTGGGTTATTCTTGGTTTAGCTTGGGGGTTCATTGTTAGGCTATTCCTTGGTTAAATGTAGGTTATTTTTGACAGCAATTATTGGTTAATTGTTTGGTTAATTATGGCTTAATTATGGGTTATTTATGGGCTACTAATCAGCTAATGTAGCCGTGGTTTTTTGTTTTTTTTATGAGTTAATCTGGACTATTCTTGAGTTATTTGTGGGTCATTATTGGGTTATTATTTGGTTAAGTATGAGTTAATGCTGCATTAGGGCCTGATTTTGTGGGGGGTATTCTCGGGATAATATTTGGTTAGCTAGGATTTATTGAGGAGTTTATTATTAGGTTATTCTTGGATTATTATGGAGTTATTTTGCTGTTTGTTTTGTTTTAGGGGTTTCGTGAAAGTTATTCTCCGACTTGTGTTGGGTTAATTGAAGGTTTATGATTATGCATATTTTAGCTTATTAGTAGGTTATTGTAAGCTTATTGGTGAGGTTTTTAGTGGGTTATTGTAGTCTTATTATTTTTTTATTTCTGTGTTACTTTTTATTTGTGTTGGGATTTAATCTACAGTTATTTCAAAGTTATATTAGAGTTATTTAACAGTTATTGAGGAAGGTTATCTGAAGGAGTGTTTTGAAAATTTTTATGCTGTTAGTGTTAATAAATTCTTCCTTACTCGTGCAGGTTGATGAACAAGAAGGGAATTAATTGTGGATGCCGTTTTTTTGACAGTTAGAGATGTGCTAGAGAAGTTTCGGCCCGTGTTTCCGAAGACCTGAAGAAGACTGAGAGAATTGAATATACATCAAATTTTTAAACTCCCTCCGTATCCTGATGATCATATCTTAACTATACACATTTTGAATTGATGGGATATTGATTGTGTGCTATTCAGATTGAGCGGCAAGGAGGTGAGTTTTGATGCAAATCAAGTTGTTTTGCTGATTGGCGTGCCTAATAGAGGACCAACAACAAGCTGGAAAAAACCTCTCAGTGGTATGGATGCCAGGAAGACGAAAAGTGAACTACTTAATGTGTCACTCGGAGAGTCTTCCGGTGTAGTCGATGAACTATTTATTAAGTTGTTATTAAATTTATTTTTTTCTTTCTATCAATTTTGGTGTGGCCGAAGTGCTTTATTCATTTGCTGAGAATTTGGATTTTTTTGTTTCATTTAATTGGCTTGCAATTATATGTGAATTCTTCATCGAGCAAGTCAATGTTTGCGCCATTAAAATAAAGATGGGCCGACCATTTACCTAAATGGATTTGTTTTCCTCCTAATGGTTAGTGTATTATCCAGCTTTCCAAAAAGTTTATTCATTCTAGTGTGGTCACATTGTAATTTTGATTTATTTATTTTTGCGCAGCTGTGGTTTTATGAGCGCATAGCTTTCATAGTCCCTGTTGTTCCTGAGGCCAGGTGTCGCATGCTGAGGTGGCCAATAAATATTGGTTGGAACCCTACAAAGTTACATCTAGCCTTTCAGAGGCTCAACTCTTCACAGATTAGTAATTTAACATTCTATTTAGAGTTATGTTATGTGCTATTTTGTTTAGTTGTATTTGTACTATTCGTTAATTGAGACCCCCTCTTGCGACCAACTTTTCCACAAATATAATCCTTCATCTTAATTTGCTTCGAGTTAGGCCAATAACTACTGTGGTCCTTGCGGACAGTGAACCCAATATGATGTGCGTAGGCGCGTGTTGTTCATAAGCTTATTACTGATTGTGGACAATGGTCTTAAGAAAATTGTCAACAATTGGATCATTGCAAGCTTTTCCAGGCTCAGAGAACTACAAATAGACATTATATCATACAGACGGTCAAAGATGCACATAACACCACACCCTGAACACCTAAATATCAACACATTGATAACAAATTGACAACATAACAACACTCAATTAACACCAGAATTACACCAGGGTAATACCATCTTGGGAGTTATTTCAGTTTAATACCGGACATTTTTAGCAATTCTTTAGGAGTTATTGCTGGTTTAGGCGGTAGTGTATAATGAGCTTATTATAGTGATATAATGAATTATTCTCGAGTTATTTAACATTTATTCAAGATAACTCACAAATAACCCTAAATAACCCACAAATAATCTGGAAATAACCAACTAGTTAAGATTCTAAACCTATTTTCGGTAATTTTGAGGCTATTCTTTCTGAATAGTGGCTTATTCTCTGATTATTTGGGGATTTTTCAACAAAAACCCGAAAATAATCTCAGAGTAATCCAGATATACCCCGATAGATATGAATTCTTTTCTTTCATTTTTGAATTTTTTTTAGATTATTCTGAGTTTATAGATGGGTTATTATGCTATAATTATATAGTAGCCTAAAACTATTTTCATTTATTTCGAGGTAATCCTAGAAATATATTGGGTTATCCTTGGCATTTTTAGTATTTTTTCAAAATAATCCAATAATAATCTGGAAATAACGCGATAGTTAGGATTTCGTTTATTCCAGTTTCGTGTTTAGGTTATTTTGAGTTTATAATTGGATTATTCTGCTGTTGTTAGAAGATAGTCAAAACCCATGTATCAAACGATAGTGAAAACCCAACATAATTTTGAAATAAGCCAAAAAATAGGAAAAAATTGCAACTAACGTGATGTTAACTTTGTAATCTGTTCATAACCTAACGTACAACACAACAAAAGATAACATTTCAGGGAAGTAAGCTCACCTCCGTCCCAAAAACAACGTCATTATTCTTGTAACCCATCATCATTATTTCTTGCTTGACAGATAAATCCATGTTTTTCGTAGCACCAGAGTTAACCCTATCACATTGTCGTGCAGGAGTGACGAGAGCAAAAACTGTGGATCGAAGCTTCCCACAAACCCTAGCAGAGCAGTGAGGATGAACGACTGTATATAGTCGAACGGGCGGGTCGGGCCACCAAATTTTCGATTTTTTTTAATTACATAGTGTGTGGGACCCACCATTACACGTGGGATAAATTCATTCGACTTTGGATGTTGCACTACGGAGTCCAGACTGAAAAGTTTCACCTTGAATGCAGAACTTCCCTCTCCACCTTCACGCATAAGACTCATGCATTTCACTTCCAAGGTCACAATACGCTTCTCCTCCTCCCTTGGGTTTTCTTGCATGCTTGCCCAGCAAGTGGCACACCCTCTCCTACTCGAAGTCGCACCGACTCACCTCTTGCACTTGAAGAATCACTAGCTTGTCACTTGAAAACAAATCCTTCTCCTTAGCTTCAACTCTTGCGTGACCTAGATTGTCCTTTCTACCAGCAGCTTCTGCCTCTTCACTTCTTCGATGTCATCTCCCTGGATCGGCGCCCGCAGGAAAACCCATAGCTAGCAGGCAGCCCTGCACATAAGATGCTCCTCTCCCTCACACAGAACACGTGACTTCAACTTTGTCTCCCTTTTTCCTAAGTGCATTAGCACTTTAAACTGGTGGTGTAAACTTCCTCTTCTTCTTTCTTCTCGCTCTTCACTTCTCTCGTTATGTCTACTGTTTCATTTCTACCATCACTTTGGTTAGAATGAATTGCCCGTCTCTTAATAGGAAACACTGTTGAGGCGAAGATTAATGCAAATTGACATGGATTCAATACTATCATTTTCTTTTATCACTTTTTATTTTATATTTCAGTTATTACAGTTATTTATGTCTTGTCTCTGGCTACAGGTGTAACCCATTTTCTACTTACCCCCGGACATATGATCTCTTGCATGCTTACCAGCTGTTGTCCCACTACCAATCTGGCGAGAGACGTTGCTCGGTTGAAGATATCCTTTTGGAGATGGATCGCATCATTCGTCCTCAGGTTCCACCTTCTCTAACTTTTTTCTTTGATTTCGATCGAAAAATTATTAAATAATATTAGAAGTAATATCTGTTGTCATAACATACGTTCATTTTAGACATACGTTCTTTTTAGATCTAATCCACTGTCATACTGCGTTGTTTTCACTCCTAAGGAATTGTAATACTTTTTTTTTTGCTAAATTGTCGAAATGGTTTCACTAATTGTGGGCAATAACTTTTCTGCTATTTAAGGAAGTTCAACAAAGTAGTGTTGCAGGTTATCAGGCTAAAGAGTCATTGATTATGTGTCAGATTTCAGGTCCTAACTTTCCGTTCACTTTTGATCTTCCAGCTTATTCCCTGCAATAGTTGCTATTTTCTTGTGCCATTTATGCTAATGCCTGGTTTGATAAGTGTTGTTTGTTCTGAGAATGGGGGCTACTTTTTTGTTATGTTTCATCGAACATTGGAATCTTATGTGGAATTCTTGGACAATTTAGAATTAAAGTTGTCAAGTATAATGCAAAAGCTCAAGGAGTTCTTTTTGTGAATTAAAGCTATCATAATCAACCTTCTTCATCATTATTGTCATTATCATTTGTCTTATCTAATTATAGCTAATCTCTTTTTGAAATCGATTTGTAAAACGATGAGGTGTTTTTCATGTTGACGGATCAAATTTGTGTGGTCTGAATTGGCCAGTTCGTGAGGCTTCATCAAACTCCTTGCATAATATGTCGCCAAAATAATGAAATTGAATTTCATTGAAGATCCTTGTTTTAGGCTTTAAAATGTGCGACTCACCAAACTAACCAATTGAAAGAGAAGTTAATCTTGGAGTCGTGCAGCTTGAATTGGATAGTGATGCTAGAAATTCTAGTGAACTTAGAAATTATAATAATATAATTGTGTTACTTTTTAACGTTTAGTGATGAAACCTATTTAAAAAAGTGCAAGAATTGGATAGCAGAAGATTATGAGGTGTTTATTAGAATATAGTTTTTTTGGTTAAAGTTGGGTCATTAAAAGGGAGTTGCCCGGGAGTATTTAATAAAAATCATCACGATCTAACAAGAAATTTCATATTACTACAACTGAACCGGCTATGATTGAAGCATGTAGTGTTACTAAACAAATATGACTAGCAATGAACTTGAGTCTTATAAAAAAATATAATTGTAAACGATGGTGCAAGGTAAAAGTTGAAATAATAAACTGAAAAGTTACAATTTTTAAAAAGAGTATAGTTGTAGCTGTTGTGGTATATATAAAATAAAATAGAAGAATGATCTTTGACGAAGCGAAAAATTGGATGAGAAAATTCACACCTGAAAACAGTAACACAGCGGGACACAAATTTATGTGGTTCGGCAAATTGCCTACGTCTACGGAGTTGCAGAGAATTTTACTACTTGAGAAATTTACACTAGTCTCGACTTACAAGAGGGATCTCTCACTTTGTTGCTCTCTCTTCTTCTCTCTCTGCACCGAGATACACCGAAGAAGATAGACTTACAAGAGAAATAAACTCAATTTCTCTTCTGCCATAAGCCACCAAGAAGAAGCCAAGGGAGAACAATCTTCTTCTTCTTCTTCTTTCTTCCTTATGCCATAAGGAGCTAATGCTTGCACTTCTCTTCCTCTATCCCCGAGGAAGCCTGAAAAAGAACACAAAAGAGGTCGTGTTATTTTCTTTCTTCTTCTTCCGCAAAGCACGTTGAAGCTCTCTCAAATCTCTCGCCTGTAGGAGTTGATCGCACAAGATAATTCGGAGGAGGTTCTGTTTGTAACTTAAAGAAGAAAAGCGCGTCGTTTCGCGAATCATAGGCGGGAGCAGTTCGCGAAACTGTAAGGTCACGGTCACGACCTTTCTCGATCAGGAACAAGGAGGCGGGAGCGGGATCAGGAGGCGGGATCGGGAGGCGGGATCGGCTCCAACTAACAAATCTCCCACTTGGAGACTGATACACATGCTACAATATCTTCTTCGTCAAACTAATATTCTCTACTGGCGGCGTCGACTTTTTCTTCAAACATGAATCTTTCACCTCTGCAACTCAAATCCATTGTCTTCATACCAGAAGACCAACTGAACCTGTGCACTTCAGTTTCTCAAGAGTAACACCCTTAGTCAACATATCAACAGGGTCCACATAACCTTATACCTTCAAGCTATTTCCTAGGTTACTCGTCTCTGCTTACAACTCCCACTGCTTGGGCAATATCCTGTCTCTGCTGAAAGCCTTTTTCAACAAGTCCCAAACCCACTTTCCTCTTCACTTCCATCATTGTCCTGCACTGTAACCTCTGGTAGATTTCTTACTACCTTCAAAGCCCCTGAATCCAATATCAAGTCTTCAACAGAACTATGAACTGCCAACAATAGTGCTTTTTGTGATTCTTCAAATATCACATTTGTGCTATCATTCTCCATATTCTTGGGATTTCTGCAGTTCTTTCTTATGTGACCAGTCTTGCGACAATTCCAGCAGGTTACCTGCTGATCAGACTTTGATTTTGATCTCCCTTTATTTGAGTTCGTACCTGAGATCTCGCTAGAATCTTTCCTGCGCACCTTCTCAGACAAAATCAAATCACGAATATCATCATATTTCAGTATAGAATTACCTGCAGAACTACTAACTGTCATCATCATAGCTTTCCAACTATTTGACAATGATGATAACAATATCAGCGCACATATCTTATCATCAAAATTAATTTCAACAGACGACAATTGGTTTGTAATAGTATTGAAATCATTCAAATGTTGAGCAACAGAAACACCTTCCGCCATCTTCAAGTTAAATAATTTCTTCATCAAATATACTTTGTTATTCGTCGATGACTTTTCATACATACCTGATAAGGCTACCATGAGATCTGTAGTCGTCCTCACCTTGACGACGTTGTGTGCAACGGACCTCGATAGGGTCAATCGAATACCCCAGAACCTATCGATTCAACAGATTCCATTCAGCCTCATCCATTATTTCAGGTCTTTTCCTCAATAACGGAAGATGAAGTTTCTTCCCATAGAGGTAGTCCTTTATCTGCATCATCCAGTAACCAAAATCAGTGTCATCAAATTTCTTGATCTCTAAAACCTTCACTTTATCTGTAGCTATCATTCTTCCTCACATCCGAATAAATCTCTGCTATCAGTTGTTATGGTATATATAAAATAAAAAAAAAGAACGATCTTTGACGAAACGAAAAATAGAACGAGAAAATTCACACTAAAAAACAGTAACACAGTGGAACACAAATTTACGTGGTTCGACAAATGTTCGACAAATGACCTACGTCCACGAAGTTGCAAAAGATTTTACTACTTAAGGAATTTACATCAGTTGATCACCTCGACTTACAAGAGGAATCTCTCTCAATTCGTTGCTCTCTCTTTTTCTCTCTCTACACCGAGATACACCGAAGAAGATAAACTTGCAAGAGAAATAAACCCAATTTCTCTTCTGCCATAAGCCACCAAGAATAAGTCAAGAGAGAACAATCTTCTGCTTCTTTCTTCTTCCTTCTTCCTTCTGCTGCAAGGAACTATTGCTTGCACTTCTCTTTCTCTATTCCCGAGGAAGCCCGAAGAAGAACACAAAAGAGGCCGTGCTATTTCCTTTCTTCCTCTTCTGCAAAGCACGTCGAAGCTCTCTCGAATTTCTCGCCTATAGTAGTTGATCGCAGAAGATAATTCAGAGGAGGGTCCTATTCGTAACTTAAAAAAGCAGAGGGCGTCGTTTCACGAATCGTAGGCGGGAGAAGTTCGCGAAATTGTAAGGTCGCGGTTGCGACCTTTTGCGATCGGGAACAGGGAGGCGGGATTGGGGCTCCAGCTAACAGTAGCCTCTATTCATGATTAAATAGTGGAGGATTGATTAATTTGTTTACACGCATATTAAATAAATAAAATATTGAGAACAATACAAATGTGAAAATAAAAAAAATCTAATAACATTAAATTTCAAAAACTAAGAGCCCGTTTGTCGTCAGTTTTGTTTTTTTAGTAATTTAATTTGTATATATTTTATATTTTATTTTTTTTAAAATCAAATTCTATTTAAAGATAATCAAAACATATAAAAGATATTTTGAGTGTTTTTAAAAATAATTTTCTTAATCAAAATATCGAACAATAATAGCAACAGCATGCTTTTATTCCACTTAATGGGGTTGGCTATTTGAATCCTTTTTCTCCATTGTGTCTTATTGAGTGTCGTATTTTCATTTAATTCTGATTAATTAAGATCATTTTTGTTACAACATGCCCAAGTCTTTTTAGGTCTACCTCTACTTTTCTTAACATAAGTCTAAGTTTAGAATATCTGCTCCCTTAACTGAGTCATCAGATGGTCGACCTTTAACCATCTAAGGATACTCTCTCTAATCTTGCGTGCCAGTGGACCTACTTCAAGTCTTTTGCGTATATTTTGAGTGTTTTAAAATAAATCAAATTCTATTTAAAACTAATCAAAACATATAAATTATATTTAGAGTTTTTTTAAAAATAACTATCTTAAATAAATATGTTTTAATTTAAATCAAGATATACAACAACAACAATAACGACAATAAGCTTTTATTCCACTAAGCAGGGCTGGGTACGTGAATTTTTCTCCATTGTTTCCTATTGAGTTTTATTTCTTCATTTAATTCAAATTTATTAAGATCATTTTTTATATGACATGTTCAAGTTTTCTTAGGTCTACCTCTAGCTTTCATAACATCAGTCAAATATAGAATATCTGCTCTCCTAATCGAGTCATCAGATGGTTAGCATTTAATGTGACTAAACCATCTAAGGAGACTATCTAATCTTTTCTGTCAGTGGAGCTACTCCAACCCTTTCACGGATATATTTGTTTCACATTTTGTCTCTTAATGTGAAGCCACTCATCAACCCGAGCATTCTTTCTCAGTAACACTTAATTTTTCGCTTCTCTTTACAGTCCGACATTTTGCGCCATAAAGCATTGCAGGTCTCACCACCATCATATAAAGTTTTCTTTA